TTGGTAACCTCGTGGCAACCTAGTGAAATAAACAGTCCAATTGGTCTTCATTTATCTTCACTTAGTATTTCTGACACTCCTCGAGGATGTGTTTTGATGTGATTTTTTTAGGCCATTTTCTATTAATTTACTATAATATTGTGACCAAAAAATGTGTTAAAATAATAAATCGAAAAACTGGTAATTTAATCGCTGCGAAGTATAACGCATGTACTCGATATAATTGACCTTAAGCAGAATACGTTAATCGGTATATACATTATTACAAAATTGTCACTTTTTTGACATGTGAACACTTTGAATCGTTGAATCATTGAATAATTATTTAGTATTTACGATATTATGTGTTCACCGTTATCTCGGATTAAATTTTTCAAATGTATAATCTTACCACGAAAAATAAACACTGTAAGCGCAGACAGACAATATTGTCGAACCAGCTAGCTGTAAAAAAAAAAAAAAACATTTAAATACTAATGACTGCAGTTATCCATTCGACCGAAAAGTTATCGAAACAACAATATAATTATTAAGTAGCTAGGTATGTAATTTGGTAATTACTAATAAGCCACTCGCAGATTACAGTTTCAGGCTATATAGTCGACGGCTGCAAAGCAATGTAATATTTGACCATAATAGTATAATGTAAATAATTAGTATACGCACCTGTTTAATACTTGAGTGAGTCGAGTACCTATTATTGCACGAATTGCGTTATTATATACTATATTGGTATTTGACATATGTACCATGTACGTGACTTTATCTAAGACCGGAGACTTGAAGAGCAATTAAATTACGAACAAAACAATGTCAAAATTCAGTAGCAATGCGAATGGAAGAAAACTGTCTGCTTAGTGGTTTACTATTACACTTTACACGTCATATTACATGTTTTTATATATTATTATCTTGTACAACGTTCAATGTTTACACACCTTTTTACGTTTCACAAGTACCTTTAAGGTACCTAATAATATTATATTATACAGAGTTATTCACCAGGCATGTTCATTCTCGTATTTTCCTTTAATAACAAATTTATTCAGACTCTGATTTTTGGAATTTTTAAACACCTACACTTACACTTTATACTTTTATAGACCGTGTTTTCGAATCTTTTAGATTTTGTGTACTGCTTAATAAAAAGTTTCCCGCGGTGATAGAAACTTCTGTTCTTCAAATTCGAACCTTTGTTACTGTAAATTATTTACAATTGCATATACCACCGTGTGTATATGAGTGTAATTTAATAATTTTCAACATTTGAATGAGTAACATCATAATAATTTACATTAGTCCTTAAAAATAGTTTTACAAAAATATAAAATAGATGTAATGATGGATCTAATATTTATTATATACATGGACTATTTTCTCAAATTATTAATGTCGATATAATAATATTAATATTAGGTACTAATATTTTCAAATCATCAATCATCATAGACCCCATATTTTCCAAGTCAATTATGCTTAGTATAAAACGTGAAATAATACCAAAAAAATAACTGTTTGAATTTTGATTTAAATGCATCAAAATTATCTGAAAAATTATCCTGTAATTAAGTGGAAAAATGGGTTCTCATTTGAAAAAACTAAATTTTGTATCTTCAAAGGACACTTCTTAAGTTGTACAAAAATCTCAAGAATTTGAACATAGTATTAAGCATGTTTGAAAACCATAAACATTATATTTTAAATAATTGCATTATTGATAAATTAAAAGGTGGTGGGCATGCTTATTGAATCACTCTGTATATTAAATGAATATTTTATAGCTAATAGTCAATGCTGTATTGTTGAGTAGATACTACCTCCCACCTATTATGCAATCTAAAACGAAACGATTAACGAAATATATTTTATGCGAAAACCGTTTAATTTCACCATTTAAGTTCGAACGAACGGTTTAGGTACGCATTCCGTTTTCATGAGCTCTGAATAATATAATAATCATGTGTTCACTATAATATACATATGGGAGGTATGCCTACCTAGCTATACATATATTGCTCGTTCAATTACGTTTGACTATTGAACTTATACCTATATGAAAGAGATGAAAAAAAAATTCGATTAAAAAGTACCTAAATATAAAAATGCAATAAATCATTGGTACCTGCCTATATTGTTTTTTGGGGTTGAAAAAAAATATATTATAAGGGTCAGATTTTTATCGCGTGTAATAAACGTAACGAAAATCCATTATATCGTATACACGCACACGCACACACACACACACACACAGTAATATAATACGTATATATATATATTATATTATTATTACATTGATTGGTACCTGCGTATGCCTTAAGGAGTAAAAATCATTAGCATCTGTATACAACGGCGCAGAAGTTTTGAAACGAACATGAGATGACTTTTACTTTTGTCGGAATCAATTATGTTTGTACGTTATTTTCGATTTCGCGTGTAGGTGATAAAATACTACGTATTTTTTTATTTCGACAAAAATAACAAATGATCGCGGACCAACTCTAAAACATAATATATAATCTGACTATGTATACGATCGTACGAAGAAAACCGTTTACGCGGATCGATGCATTTGATATTATTATTATTATTATTATGCAGCCGTTAATCGATGAGCAAGCCGTCATGACAATATTATAACAATGACAACAACAGTAATAATAAATGCGTATATCACCGGTACAGGTACCTACTGCACATCATGACTGATATATTATATATCATACATTGCAATAATATCGATCACCCCCCGACTGCATCTCAATAAAAATAATAATAATAATAATAATAATAATAATATAATAGTGCTCATAATAATATCAAATGTAGGTAATATTTGCAGCCGCGTCGACGACGTTCCCACGCCCGCCGCATGCACGCGAAACTATACGGTGGTTTGCACAGGATTTTAACCTTTTCAAAACGGACGATTTCCGTGAGAATATGTTACATTTCACAAAATATAATATCGTTCGGTGTTTTGTGACGGTTTCGGTGCGGTTTGGTTCGGTTTCGAGTATTTTTATGTATACTTTTTTTTTGTGTCAACAACACGCGGGCCTCCAAAATCTGTGTCGCGAAAGAATGGAGAGACGAACCCGGTGCATTATGTTATATTATATCGCCGTGTGTGGGTGTGCGAAAAACGAAACGGCGAGCCAACCCTTTCCGGATATTCCCACACCCCATATGGGGTAAGTATAATGTATATATTGTATACTTCGGGTAATCGGGTGAACGTCGTGACGTCCGAACGATTCAATCCTAACACAATAATTGTGTTACACAGTTAACGATGTACTGCAGTTTATATATTATATTATATAGAACGAGTAAGCAGTACGTATCCACAAATCCCAGTATAATCTGCTATGGACAGAATTGGTTTAGGTAAAGTGTACCTATCTAAGTGTTTCTACAAGTGGTTTTTCCGAATAAACATTAAAAGAGTAAATATATTTACACTACGTTTATATCATCGTTAAAATATTATGTTTATACGCTGATGATTTATTTTAGTAGTAAAACTTAGTAGTAAAATTAATGAAACGGTGTACAAATATGATAAAAAAAATTGATATGTTTAATGTTAGCAAAATTGATTAAATCATACAATTAAAAACATTATAAGCTAAATATATAAATAAAGAGCCAATAATAAACTACACTTCTTAAACAATACTTTTTATGTATAGGCGAGTATATGATCACGAGTTTGACTCTCGACAGCGGGGAAACATTTTTGTGTTTTTTTAATAGCAAATACTTAATTTATAATAAGTACCTACCTTTGTTCACCGCATGTATTATGCAAAATATTTTAAGACGAAAAGTAAGTTAAAATTTAGATTGCCTACTTAATGATGTTGTTATCCTAGAAATGCTCTTGGACTCAATTCAAGTATTTGATAGACATTTCTTTGAACTGGCCAATCACATTGTTAACTTTGACTTTTGCTGAATCTGGTTCATGATTACGATCTCTTTCTTTTACAATTAATTATTCATCACACTAATGTGAACGTCCTTAACTCTTAGGTATTGGTCTGATAATTCTTGCTTTGCCGTATCAACTATAAGTTTATTCACACCAAACTATCCCTTACATCATACCAATTTGTCAATGTTCTGTTAACTCTTTAATCTAATAAATAATAATACATACAAAATACGTTTAAAATTAAAGTATTGATAATTAACGCACTCAAAATTCAAAATAATAAATGTTATAACACTAATATTATAACTGTACCTACCTTCAGTAGTTCAGTGTATGAACACAGCTCTGAGGAAAACACACTTAAGTTTGGTAACATTAAAATACTAGGTTACTCTTTTTATATTTCAGTTATACACTTCCCTTGCTGCGGGTTGCAACTTTAATCGTCATCATATGAAATAACACAATATTGTTTTTGAGGAAAATTATAGAGTTTAGACATAAAACTTTGCAATATCAGCCTCTGCACAGTCTTACTTGATTATTATTGCAATTTACAATATTTAAATAATATAATCTTAAACGTGGTATAATATACTGTACAACAGTCAATAATAAGTACACCGCGAAATGTTGTCGGTGTTCATAATGATAATAATAATAATTATTTTTTTGTTCATATTTGAAGTAAGGTACCAACCGGAAATGTTGTAAGTACGAACAGTGCTGTTGGCTAGGTTGTTGATAATTTGTCGTTATAATATGAACGCGAGAGAATCGCTCGCGTGTTTTCGATGAAATAAACTTCATAAAATAACATAATAAATATAGTACGCAGCGTAGGTACCTACATAGTATAATATTATTAATTACCATGACTACACGTGTTTTATTACACGGTAATTCGAATTTTGGAAAACAATTTATTTTACTTGGTTTTTATATTATTTTAATATAATTGTAAGATTTACGTAAATAACTATAAGTGCTTGTCCTACGAGGAAGATTGTGAAAAAATCAACGAACCGTCTGTCTACGAATAGGTATTATTATTATTACAGTCATGTCGAAACTTGAACCAAATGCAATCGATAAAACGAAATCGTTGCCTCGCATTGAACTGACATCGCCCATATTAGCTGCATCTGACAATAATTCACTGAGATCTTACAATAGTTGCAAAGTGGTTCATGGGCAGGAAATGCTGCAGAAACCTACTGAAAGACAATCAAATGTAAAAGCTCTGATCGACAAACACAGGTTGTTTCAAGACAAATTACTAAATGCTAAAGTAAACGACTTCAACACCAAAAAGAAATCGTTTGCCAATGCTTGTGAAAGCTTTTGTGCTTCGTACAACGATTGTAAAAAAATGGAAGGTGACTCGGGACAAGTGGAAAACGTCGAAAATTTCGTACGATTACTATATAATATATTATTTTAGTTTAACTATGCGGATACAATAAATCACATTAATAATATTTAATAATCATAATAAACTATTGAAGTATTATAAATATCAAAATGTTATTTTGGGAACTAAACTGCATTCATACCTTATTTTGAATCAATCAAAATCTGTAACTAATTAATATTTAATATTAATATATAGCTGATGTTACATTTTTTTATTATAATATATTAATACAAATGACAAATCTAATATTATATTATGAACATGACATATAATTTCAAAGCAAAATAAATATTATTGTTGTTATTTTGGGTTTTATACTATGATATGAATAAACTGTAGGAATTTAAAATGTACAATAAATATTTAATATATCTATTTTTAACTATATTATACACAAATAAATACTAATATTTTGATTTTTAAGAATTGTCATTTAAACTGTTTTCTCACTTAACATTTTTAGGTGAAAAATCATGTGTTTGAAGTTTCGAATCCCAACATTTTATTAGATGATCATAAACCACTGGAAGTAGAAAAACATGTGTTAAGGTCCGAAAATATTGATTTCAAAACTGGAACTAAAGAGTTAGATGGAATTTTGACCACTATGTGCAAGCGATTTTGGCAAAATTTGGTTTCCGTGTTCAGCATCAACAATGCTTACTACCAATGTTTGACACAAATTTTGGACAAACGTAAATTTAAAAATCTCGAGGACGTAAAGGTTCATGTCAATTCTGTGTTAAAAATAGCTGGTGATGATTGTGAAGTAATCAGATCGGAACTACTCGCCTCTTCCAAGGAGTCTATGGAAAAGTTGGGCACAGTATTAAACAGTAAATTAAATGAGAAATTAAAGAAACCTCCCCCGTCAAATCACGGTAGCAAGATGGCTGCTCTCAGAATTGAGTTGACTGAAACTAAGAGGCGTACGAAGATTGCTGAAAATAATATCGCTCAACTCCAAAAAGAGAAGAAAGACTTGTTAAACATATTAAGCAGCTACGATTCTGAAAATGTTAACAAAGTATCGTTGGAAAAACGGCTCGAAGCTGTAAGGCAGAACAACAATGAATTACGGGATTTAATTAGTACTATTTTCGAAAAAAAAATGCCTATGTATATATAAACAGCGAATTTGGGTGAATAAATGTTTATAAAATTATTAATAGGTACTTTGAATACTTATAGGTATAAATATTATGCATTGTTATAGTTTTAATTATCACCCTAATTATACAATTTGGACCTAGACAATATTATTTCGAAATCCTTCCTGTCTAAATCGTATAGGTTAAATCAATTAATATCCCGTGATTAAGGAAATGGTTGGTATATATAGGTTACAGCATTCAATGCACTAACCTTTTGCAGTTACCAAAATGCTTAACATAATTTGGTTTAATAGGTAATAGTTAAAGGTATAACACAATAACCTACTTGTACGAAAGTGTTCATAGCGATAGCAAGAAGTAGTAATACAATTTTTATTTTTGGTCATTACTAAATCATTTGACGGAAAGCCTACGAAAAACACAGTTTAAACATCCCTTTGACTTCTATGATATTATTAAATATGATACTTAATTTTTTCTCATCAATATATTCAATTGTATTGTTGTAAATCTAGAGTTAGGATGTTGATGACTTTTGCATTTTTTTCCTTCGATTCTATTCAATGTTATCCTAGCTAAAAATTTGTTTCTTGCTCCCTTGATGTAGAATATTCTAATTTTATTTTGCATTTTTTTTTGTTTTTAACGTCATTTTTTTATCTTTTAGGTCATTTTTTGTAGTTTTTGTACAATTTCAGGCATATTTCTCAAATTTTAGATTAGAGTAAATATTAAACCCAAGTTTAATTTACTATTAATAATTTTATATAATGCTTAAAATGTAAATGTATACTATTGTTTATTAATATTATAATTTATTATTCATATTTTAAATTACTATTACACCCATTATCACACCCATATCTCTAATAAAAATTATTATTTATAAATAAATTTTTTTCACTTATTTGATTAGTTTTTTAGATAATTTTTAAGGTAATTTTTTGAAGTTTTTAGAGCATTTTTGCATTTTTTTTGGGGGGGGGGGGCATTTTTGTGTGTTTTTTAGGTCATCGCCATCCTTATAATATATAGTTGATGTAATTTATTATTTTATTTTAAATTTTTGTCAAATTCTGTTAAATATCTACCTAAGATTCTTCTAACTTTCTATTGTCTTAAGCGCTTAGGCCTCAATAATGTTAAATCGTTAAATCTATATCAAAGAGAAAATTTAGTTTTACAATTTCAAAATATTTTAACCACAGACGACTATTAAATCATTCCATTCTTAAGGTCGTATAATAAAACAGCAATCACAAAAATATGCAGTTAAATTGTGTACGTATTTTAATAACATGACAATAATTATTGCTAAATTGTAATAATTAATGTGCAATTATGTTGATTTTTGTTTTTATATGAAGGAGAAAATGTAAATTATATTTTTTTTAAATATCTTTGGGACGTGGGGCCAAGACCTCAAGATGCATCATTTTTTCATATATATTGATTTTTTTATTAATTTTTTTTTAATTTTATATTCACTACCTCCCGTGATAATTCTTCCACGCCCATGTATTACCTATATTAATTAATATAAATAAATACAACTTAGATAGGTTTATATTAAATTATATACCAGAAGTAAACTGTATACCACGTATGCATTTAAATACTGTTTACGTTAAATATTTTTGTAGAATTTCGATCACCTCACCACGGTCGTCAATATGTAACCAATTTATGTTTTTGTAATAGATATGAATTTTTGTTGTATGAATTGTTATTGCAACGCAGTATAAATGTATTCCTGTACCTATATATATGTCATGAAAGGGCACCAGCATATGGGTTTTATATAGGAGATTTGTTTTTAGGCACTGATAATTTCAATGAAAATTTAAATTTTAAATTTAGCTACATATACCTACCTATGCATTGTAGATATCTTTAATGGTTCATGGTTGTTCGCGAAATATTATAAATTCATAAAAGAGTTTTTCGTGCTTGATAAAAAGACTACAGGCTTATAGGTATCGAACTCCTATTGACAACCAATATTCAATTGGATGACAACTTGATTACTTCAATAATTGTGATTTAGCCAGTTAGGGATGTTAAATGCCAACACAAATATTACCTACTATTCATTAACATTGCATCGTCTAAAATGTAAAATAATTGTTTTAATATTGGAATAATAAACTATACTTCAAAATTGTTCATAACAATATATTCAAGACAGTTTGAAATGTTTTATTCAGATGATTGCAGTGTGTTTATCACACATGTTTTGATGTCTCAATAATAATACTTTTTCGTGAATAGACAATAATAAAATACAGTTTATTATTTCACGCCATGAATGTCGGTAATTAAAAAATTGCAATAATTGGACAACCTCTAAATCTCATTGATAAATATCCATACGAGTATTGGTGTTATTATAATTATTATTACCATAAGTAATAAACCCTATAAGGTTGAAATATCTTCATTTTCTCCTAAAATATGTTAAATACTCATCTTAATCTCGTCTATTTTATATTTTAAACTCATCTTCATTAGCGAAACATGAGTTTTCATTTTATTATACTAGCTATTTTATCGTACATTTAGAAAAGTTTCATTTTCTCAAACTCTTTCGTATTTTTGCAATTGTTATTATCGTTTCGTTATTTTTTTTTGCAACACGCATACGTCTTATTGTGCAAACATTTCAAGGACATTTAATGTGATTTTTTAGATTCGGAATACATTACGTTTATAATGCAAAATTCACTCTCATGGTTATATTTATTTTGAATATGTCCTAGCATGCAAAATAAAGAAAATACAATTCGTCATTTGAATTTTCTGACAATAGATTTTCAGACGATTTCAATCTCGTATACTGCGTCAAAATATTCTTATATTCTATGTTTTTGTGATTCTCAAGAACATCTGAAAATGTTTCACCAAATCTTCTATTATACGCGGTAGAATACAATATTTGAAACCTAGTTTAAATTGATCTCATAAACCTAACAATTCTTTGGTACCCGTATATTTTTACTAAAAAAAATGAATCATAAGAAGATACTTAGTAGTTATGTACAATGTACATGTATATTGCGTACACGTTTCCAATTTGTATAAATTATGTATACAGGAAAAGACAAACTATAAATTCACAAAAAAACACATTAAGACAATGACAGATTTTCGCTTACAAGTGCTGTATATTGTGTTTTATATTTTTATATTTAATATTATTAGTTATTACTATTGTCATAAAATATGATTCAAATGTGATTCGCAAATTTTTACCTGGTTTCAAATCGTTACAAAACATCAATTTTTTTTTTTGATTATATTTTTTTAAGTTTTTACTTTTTAAAATTATAATTATTCAATTTTAATTTAATCTTCGAAATACTTAGAAGAACATTTTGCTTTAGAATATGAAATTGAATATGAAATTAAAACTGTATGTTTCCATACAAAAAGTAAAAACTTAAAAAAATAAAATCAAAAAAAAAATGGCATTTAAGAATAAAAAATATTTAAAAGTGTTATTTTTTAACGACTAGGAACTATATGTACATTTTTATTTTTCTAAAATATTTATACTTTTTTAAATAATGAGTTTCTAATAATAAAAGAGTTACCTGCTACACATAGTAATAAAATGTTTATTATAACAGTCTTTGGTATTCTGTCGGAACCGCACGACAATTACCCGTTTCCAGGAAAAATAAATTTGCAGTTTTCGCCAATACTAATCAAGGTTTAATTTCAATATCCACAAATTTGTATTTGATCAAAATATTGTGAAACAACTAAAAATCAAAGACTATTTATTTTAGATTTTTCGTGGAGCCATGAATGTGTAGGTTTTACAATAATGTGTTTTTTATTTTTTGTTTATTTTTTTTTTTGTTTGTGTCTGTGTACACAATAAGTATTCGAACTAATACTTCGATTTTCAACTTCAGTATATTTTCTTGTGGAAATGTGAATCTAGTTGGTGCATCGGGAAGTTTAGAATTTAAAACTCCCAGTAGTTTTCAAAAGCGGTGGACAAAAAAATTCAGGTAAAACGGACAGGGATCTTTATACTGGAATATTGACAAAACTCGTAATAATCACTAAAATTTTCCAATTATTTTGAGTAAGAATTACATAAAAACTTTTATTTTTAGGTATAGCCAAGATTTTAAATGTAATACCGGAATCTTCTAAAGTTTTTCACCCTTTATAAAAAAAAAAAATGTCAACTGGAAAGTCAAATTACATTTTTATGAACGTTTAAAGTTCAAATGGAAATGCAGGGAAATGCACCTCCTTAAGAGCTATAATATCTATATTGTTCTTCTATAGTAATATAGGGGAACCTACCTAAAGAACCAATCAATACCGATCACATTTAATCTTATCTCATATTTTGAGCAGATGTAACAGGAATACTTTTTTATAGCATAAATATCATTGCTTATTATTAATAGGTAAGTACTTCATTATTGCTTATCGAAACCAGTGTTCACTTGTTCACAAGCTCAATATTAATAATATATTTGCAACACTATAATATACAATACATTTAAGATTATATTTAATCAATTTACAATATTGCAGCACCCTCTGAAGCTGGACTCGTGTTGTTGGATCCATATTGTGATCAATTTTCTGAATACTAAAGAGAAATCAAAGTAAACAAAAATTTTCATTTGTATGATTATATAATAATATTAAGAGAAAAATCTAATTATAATTTACAACAATAAATATTTGCATACAAATGAAATGACATTTAAATATTAGATTGATCAAGGTGTTTTTCATACAATTAAAACAACGCGATGATTTCATAACACTATAAAGTAGGTACTTAATAATATTGTAATTGTACTAAATAATACTTTTTTGTTAACACGAATAAGTATAATAACAATAACAATAATATACGGTTGTTCTTCTCTAAAATGACCTGTAATAATAATATATATTTTTTAATCTACTACAACGTTGGGTTAAAATCAACAAATATTTTTACTAAACTATATAACGTATACATAGGCTCACAATCTAA